AATGTACAGTTTAAGTGAAACTTAAGTTTAAGTGATGTTAAGCATAACATCTGGGGGAAGTGGAATTTTATTTTGGTAGATTGTGTAATGTTAATATTATAATCATGAACACATCTGCACAACTCATTTACAAGAACTTCTTAGCGATCCATTTCCCTGTATTTTTCAGAATATTTGTTGTTATTTATGATATGTTGATGTTGGTGTTTCACTCACTTCTGGCAAAAAGCTAATCTACACATTAACCACAAGCTGCATATGGTTGACACATGGAGGAATGCAGATCTGTTCCTTACCTACCCCCACCACCAATGAAAATAGGAAGCATATTTGAAGAATTATGGCAGCTTTTAGACTGAGGCTGCACTGCAGAGCTCCCTGTCACCCCACACCCAAGGGTTTGCACAAGCACAGCGGGTGGTTATTTCCATTTTCCCTCCCCTAGCACAGCCCCTCCTGCTACTTTGAGGGTTACTTCTGAAGATTCCCCTAGTTTCGTGCGTAGATTGTCAGGAAGGTTGTCGACAGAGAATGCTTTCATAAAAGGTGAGCTGGGCAAGGAGCAGATTGAGTAACTTCCTTGACTAAGAAACTGACGGGGGTTATTAGGTATTCCACATGCATGTACAGCTCCAGTTAGTTTTGTATGACAATGACGTTGGGCCTCTTTTGTCTAGTCTCCTTGTTTCTGTTAGGATTTTCTCTGCCAAAGCGCGGGGTTGCCAGCATGAGGACCAGAAGCCTGCTTGAAACCATGGGCTGCATAAAAGAGATCTGTGAGAAGGGGACAGGAGTCTCATGTGACTTGTAGGCTCTCTGTTGGCTGTGCTGGAGTTAGATGCCGCCACATGGTATTCTGGAGCATTCCTGGAGGTCACCACTCTGAAACTCGCTTTAAAAAAATCTGACAACCAGTGCTATGGATCAGTGCCAGGCAGTATGATTTTCATTTCCCACAATGCCCTGATATGGCATTACTCCAGGGTTTCTGGGAAATTACAGCAGTGCTACTCAGCATTTGATTCAGTGCTGCTTCTCTCCACTGCTGTTGCTGGGACAAAGGCCAACAGAGCGGAAGGCTGCCTACTAGAAATCATTTACTGAGAACCCGTCGAACCAACCAGCCCTGGTTAGATGATGATAAAGCTATAAACCTGACTATACAGATGCCTACGTCTTTCTGATCTGGTAAACATGTGTCTGGGGAGAAGGGTTTTAGCTTAGCCTCCTCTTCATCATCTTATTTTATGTGTTAAATTTAGTGTTATTTGTTTTTCTTTTGATATGAATTTATTCTTCCTTATTATCTAATTATTGTGCCACGCAATAGCCAAAGCTCTCCAGAGTGGCTTACAATAGTTCAGATGTGTGTTCTACTAAGTGAACCCACCTGCAATCTGAAGCAGTCCAGTCCAGTGGACCATCCCCAGTGAGAATGAGGTGCTGGTGGGAGCGGGGTTACACTAAGGCTGAGAATACACCCGCACTGAGCACAGTGAGACCAGCTTCTAAGTAAACATTCATAAAACCTGCGAGTCCATGTAGAATAAATGGGAAATGCTTCCAAGTAAATGTATTTGAGGTGATAGCATAAGTGGATCCCTCCCCCACAGTGGTAAATTTTGAAGTGCTGGTTCTTATTTGACAGTCTCCAAATCCACACCCCCAAAGAGAGTCCAAATTTGTAGGCAGCTGTGCTGATCCACAGCAAACCCATCCTAGGCGTTTTCATCTGCTAGGAGCAAGCAGGTCTTTTGTAAAGCTCATGGGCCTTAAAAACATATTCAGGCTACCTAAAATAGATGCATTTTCTGGCCTGTTCTCCCTTCTGTGTAGAAATCTTTCTTCCTATCCAGCTGAGAACAAACATTCCTAAAAACGGTCTCCTTCCATGTTTCATATGACAGCTGTACTATCAACTAGAAACACCTTTCTGCATGAACAGAACTGTTTCTGTCGCAAGGGTACTACAGAGATGCTTGTGGTTCCACCACAGAACTCTTTCCCAGTTGAAGAATTACCAAAATGCAGAGACAATTTGTGTGTGTAGAGGTGGCATCTCTGTCTGGTCGCTTCTTCATGCAGGCAGCCAATTGTGGGAAATGAAAATGAAAAATAACTATGTTATAGAAAGCTAATTTTTCGCCACTAGTTTGTCACGTTGTTTTTTGTCATTGCACCTTATTGCATCCAATGTGTGCTTCTCCCATATGTATAAGCCCCGTTCCAGACTCTGCAACCCTGCTTAGATAATTGCTCTCTCAGGACAACCGAGAAAGAGAGATTTGTTCAGTCTTCACTGATCTGTTCGGATCGTGTAGTTTAGCCACAAAGGGTGCAATCCTGTAGCCCCTAGTCAGTGTCTAAGGGACCACAGGAGATTTTGAGTTCCCAGTTCTGAGGTTGGAGGCAGCCAACCTTCCCTCCCCATCATAGCCAGCATGAAAATTCCCATACCAGCTGCTCCCAAAGGCTGCAAGAGAGGGAGGAGAGGAGGTCGGTGAGGCAGCCCTATGGATGAATGCTCTCCAGAAAGCCCTGTCCTGCTCAGCTCCTGTGAAATCAAGATGGTGGCTTCCTTATCACTGTTTTTCTATTTAAATGCCTTTGTGATTCAAAAATAGCACATTGCACAGGAAGGCAAAAAGAGAAAATCCAGAAAAGGTGTTTTGGGTGGAGGGTTAGTCATTAACCAAAAGAAGTACAGATTTTTTTTTAAGTTTAATTTTATTTGTAGGCCCAATTCCCTTGAAGCCTGCAGAAGCAAATTGCCTAAAATCTGTTCAGATCAAAACTGTAAAGTTCTCTTGGAAAGAAACTGTTAATTTAAAAGCAGGATTATAATGTTAACCTGGCCTCCTCTATTTTAAAATGGATTTTACTACATAATCATTGGTAATAGTGTACATGAGGTTTTGTTTAAAGGAAACACAAAGCCTTAATTGTACTTTTAAAAGGAAAGTATTGCATCAGAAAGCCTCATTTAAATACATTTGGCTCTGGGCTCTTTTCACAATTCATTCATTCTGATTTTCCTTTGGACTTGTTAAGAATGCAAAATATAGGAAGGATAGTGTCAAATAGGTCTTTTTAGATCACTACTTTCTGGCATCAAAGCATACTTCTGGTCATAAACCTCTCTTACTAAACAAAATATTTTAATTCTATGTTGCAGCTATGTTGCAACTGCAGGCAGCTTTAAAAACTTGGCTAAATGTGAGGGCTGTTGTAAACTAACAAAAGAGAGCAGCTCTGCTGTAATCTAGTTGTAATTGACTGTTTGAATAGTTAGTAGTCTTAGAGCAAATGCATGAAGAGACTGTTACAAAGAAAATAGTGAGCTCTGAATCATGCAGCCATAGTCATCGTAAAGGCATATGTGCATACATAAAAACATCTTAATGTGTATGGCTGAATAGATTTGAACTCTTCCGTGGAATGCCTCTTTGATGCCAAAAACCAGTGAAAAGCAGTAGTCTCACAAGCAGTGCTAAAAAGCAACTTAATTCATGAGACAACACTTTGAGAAATGAAAAATGGGAGAACATATGATAATGTCTCCTACTTTTTAAGAATACTAATCTACCACTTTGTATTAGAGATCCATGTAGAAGCTTTGCTTATATGACCTAGCCAACTCTTACTGAGGGTTGTCCCCAGCCATGCCCTCTTCTTTTCCTTGAAATTGGCAACATGGTTCATGAGGAGCAGGTGGACAACTGAGTCTAGAAAGCTGACCTTTGGTCCCTCTGGCCTAGTATTGTCAGCACTGACTGGCAGCAGCTCTTCGGGGTTGAGGTGGGTTTTTTCCCTAGCCCTACCTGGAGATAACTGAGGATCAAAGTAGGGACCTTCTGCCTGCACAGCTTACGTTCTGCCCCTGAACTACAACCGCAGACCAGTGTTCCGCATGGCGAGCATGCTTCATGGCTGCTGTCCCTCCCAAATGGCAACAAACACACCTGCACACACAGCACACAGGCATCCCCTCATGCACACAATCAAAACAAGAAGCCCTTGCACAAACCCAGTGGCCTCGTTGGATCAAGGAGCTGAGCTGGCAACCAAAAGTCAGGCACATTCAAGGTCTTGTTGCCACCATTAAAGAAAACAACAAATACCAACCTCTGGGAATTACTGATCCATTTAAAAAATGTTTAGCTGTTCCTGAGTTCATTCATTAATCCAGCCACTTTAATCCAGTTTTTCTAACTCGGCAGCAAAGAATTGGAACGGCTGTTCTAGCTCATAGAAGTCACATGTCAATCCATTTCTCACTGCTTTACAGGAGGGGATTTTGGGGGTTTTAAGACAAAGCAACAGCAGCCCTGGTAGGTTACTTCTTCTTGCGTGGAGAGAGTTCTAGCACACAGAGAACAGGCCTGGCAATGATAGCCGATGTTTTAATGCTGGGAGGGAGGGAGTAGAGCCGACCCTCCGTAGGAAAATGTAGAGTTGGCTCTTGGACCTCATATTGGCAAGAATCAAATCCAGGTATCAGTTTCCATTTGTGGACCAGGAAGTGAACACCATGCTTTTTTAATAAAATTAATAAAATTCTGCTGATGAGGGGGTTTTTTTCTTTTTTTTTTTTTTTTGCTGTCTATTTGATGGTGGTGACATTTACCTCAGATCTTCTACAATTGTATTATTCCATGCTAAGTAAATATATGGGTATAAAAATGCATTGCTCTATAAAAAAACAGAACTTAGCCTCTCCTTACAGATTAGTACTTTTTCAGCTTTTGGGGAGGTTCCCTTGAAATATGGTGTGTGTGTGTGTGTGTGTGTTTACTAGAGATTAAATGCAGATCCAGAAGGGACATCAGGAACCCATCCAAATCAGAAAATTCTGAGAGTAGGAAAAGGGGTTGTTTTGTTGACTGCCTGAGCATTTGATTTTCTTTCTTTAAAAAACTATCAGCAAATTATGAGTGTTAATTACATCTGTGTTACATAAGCTTTATTTTTTGCTCTGTTCTCCCCACTCCCTGAAACAGAATGTTGTAGAACTAGTCAAGGCTGCAGACCTCCCTTTCCCGGCTCCTTTGGAAGAAGGGCTGCCCTGCAATATTTATTCCAAATTTATAGCAATGGCTCCTGAGGAAGAGGGTGCAACCCAGGTAAGGGGAATTTCATATTAAACAATACTTTGCTCAAGAAAACGACATGCTCCTCAGTTCCTGCCACCCAAAACCAAAAGCAAAGCATATATTCTAGCTCCTCTGTGGCGAAAAAAGCTGCTTAAATGCAGCATGTTCCTCTGGCTATAGCCCAAAGGTGAATATCTAATAACTTTATTGCATCCTTCACCAACCAGTGCCCATTCCAGCTTGGAATGATGGGAGTTGTAGTCCAATACATCTGGAGGACATGAGCTTGGCAAAGGCTGGTTTATCAAGTAGTAGATGGGCTCAGTTTCTCAAGCTCTGTGTCATTCTACCTTCTATTAGTTCGGCCAAAGATTTATGCTTTTATGTCAGAACACTTATGTGGTTTTTGTATATTATTTTCAGACTGACACTTTGAATGTTGGATTTCTTTGTACTCTTCTTAGGAAACGGATGGAGGGTCTCTTTCAGAAGAGCAGGCTGAAGCTGAAAGCTTCGTAGATCCTTTGACAGGTTACACCATAGAAGATGTCCAGTCAGTACTGGGCCAAATCACCAGTGAAATTATTGGCAACGTTCAGGTATTGTTACTAGAATTGCACTGAATGTTCTATTTCTGGCACCCGTTATACTAGTGGAAATCTGTGAGAAGACAATTGTGCTAGGGAAAGATGAAAGCAGGCGACGAAGAGGAAGATCAGCCGCGAAGTAGATGGATTCTATAAAGGAAGCCATTGTATCACGTTTGCAAGAGCTGAGCAGGGCTGTCAGGGACAGGAGGTTTTAGAGGTGAGTCATCCATACCGTCACAGTAAGAAAGGGACGGCTTGGTGGAATATAGCAGCAACAAACCGCACCTTGCTTGCTGTGGCACACAAGAAGCGTCATTTGCTAATGCAGGCTTGCACAGGTCTTCACTACCTTTAGCCATGTTGCCCTGTTCACATTCGTGCTAAGCTGCCTCCCTCAATGTCCCCACCCCACGCAAGCATGAAAACAACACATACCGGAATGTAATGAGACGCAAATGTCTGCACAGACCTAGTTATGGATGGCAGGAAAACTGCCATTACCGGGACATGGAAAAGTATCTGCTGACTTCCATCTTTCGCTTGTCCATGTTGTATAACCTCTGCCTGTTGACCTTTACCATATCATGCCTGTAGTCTAAACCATTCATTCATTCATTCATTCATTCATTCATTTTAAAACATTTGTATTCTGCCCAATTGTGCCACAGCACATCTGGCCAGCTCACAATCACATTTAAAGAGACCAATAAAAATCCAACAATGCTCAATATGTTTGGATTGCTTCCACAGTAGAACCCTTCAGTGTTGCTTTGCTAGAACCAGTCAGAAATATAACGGAATTTTCACATAGCAATCAATATACTGCCACATTTTGAAGTAATATTCTTCCCTCTAGCTCAAATTCTTCTAAAATTGGCTCACGCATAAGTTCCATTCAACAAAAACCCTTTCGGACGTCAGAGTTTCATGTTTGCAAGTTCTACCTCTTTTATGACTTCCTATTAACAGAGCAGACAGGAAAACCTTTAACTGAAGGCACAGGAGCTCTGAGAAGCCCCAGCAAGTGTTTTTGCCTGTTCACAATACATCCTGGCGCTGCATTGAAGCATTGTTGTAAAGCATCTGTTGTAAACTCTGAACTGTAAGGGTTTCGCAAGGAATATGGTTTCGATTCTCTGTTTAAAAAAAACAAGGGAATTAAGGATGGCAATCTCAGAGGGAGGGTCAAGAGTGGAATGTATCTCTCGCTGCAGAGAGTGAGAGATACAATGATGTAAACGTTGCCAGAATAGCAAAGAATCAGGACTAAACGTTGGCATAGTTATTTGCTTGGCAGATGCAGGGATGAAGGGCAGCGAGTATATCAGACCTGCCCCAAATGTGATCCACAAAGCTTGAAGGATCCCATCAGTCATGATCTATGACCCACCCAGTGCCTGACAGCAAACGCCCCTGCTTTGCAGTCCAAGATGGGCAGCAAAACCAGAAAGGTGTATAGGGTAAGATGTCAGACATGGCTGGCAGGCTGCATTTGGCATGGTACATCACTACTGTTGTAGACCTGAGCTAGGCAGGACACTGGATAAATCAGGGGAAATTCATACGTACAGTTTAGGAGATTGCCATTACACAGTTAATTTAAGCCTTTTTCCCTCTGCCTAGATCCCATTGTCCAGGACTTGCCAAAGATGAAAAGGAACAGTGAACAGTAATGACCCAATCCATAATAATAGTGGCAGTAGAAAAGTGAAGGCATCCTTTTGGGGCCAATCTGAGAAACTGTCATGGGCACTACCACGAAATGGCCACTTTGGCTAGCCCCAGCAAATAAGTAACCTGCCAAAATAACTGACAGAGGGGCAGCAGTAGAGGGGGTTTGAGCCAGAACACAACACCTCTGATCCCGTCATTCTCATCTCCCTCCATCCATCCCTCTCTCCCTCCATCCCTCTCTCTTTCTTCTTTTTCTAAGAAAAAAGCATCGATCTGCAACTGTCCATTGTCTTCATTTCCTAAGAATGTCTCTGAACCCCATCATGTGGGCCAGAGGCATCCATGAGAAAAAGAAGACAGCACATGCAGGGGGCTCTTCATTGTTAGGAAGTGATCCCAAACAAATGTGTTTGAGATACGTTACGTATATAAAAATGGGATACATGCTGTATATGAAAATGTGTGTGTGTGTCTGAACTGGGAGGTGGAAGGCATCTTGATGGGCACCAGGCAAGGTCTGAAAGGATAGACTGATGCCCACAGAAACCATATTGCCAACCCTTCAGTAGAGCGACACTTGGCCAAGCTTGCTTAAGATTTCCTACAAACCACAGCAAGATGTGCTGAACACAAAGCCTTTATTATTAACAAAGGAACGCAATATCTGCTTGCCTCAAACACTACAGCTTCTTCATAAAGCAAGAGCTTGAAATTCAGATCATATCAAATTAATCACTGATGTTTCCTCCATAAATATACAGCAGCCCATTCTAGCCTTATTGCAACCCTGTGCGGTATTATGGAGCAGCTGAAGGCCAGCCAACTTAACCAGTCATGTTTGCCATCCTTTCCAATCAATGTACAGAAGAAGCACACTTCCATCCATAGGGTTTACAACTGGTATTCTCCTCTTGGTGAAGTCAAAGACAATTAGCAAAATCAGAATATAATAATAAATAGGTAGAAGGGCAGAGCAATATCTTTAGATTTGGAATGGAAAATAATCACTCTAAGCAATATAATAGAATTGGACATAAGCAATGAAGCAAAGGAGATCACGTTACGTCAAAGAGAATGAGCTTCAAAGATAGGAGCCAGCAAATGATGGCAGCCGGTGCCCTGCAAAACAGAAGAGCTCACAGGCTTATCTTTGGCATGGGCTTCTTCCCTTGCTCGCTGTACCCAGTCCCGTCATGAAAGCTGGAAAGGGTATAATTGCAACACATCGACTTAGGTCTTTTTATTTGTGTGCTAATAAATCACAAGAATGTGACAATGCGCAAAAGAAAATTTGGGTATTTTGAAGTTCATCTAATATCTATCATACGCAAATCTTTTCTGATTTAGCCCCTGTGCAAAGACCATGTCTCCCAGGCATCTTCCTGGGTATTGTTTAGTTTGGGGCATTGGTACTATGACCACTGGGATCCAGTTGTATGAACGATGTTCTCAGATCCTATGGCATCAGTACTCCAAGTTACTTTCAGGATGCCACTGACTTCATGAGAAAACTGCAATCCACTGAAAATGCCCCAGTGAATATCATCCTGGTTACGCTGGATGTTGAGGCCTTTTCTGCCAACATCCCCGGTAACAATTGACTGCAAGTCACCAGGAGTCTTATCTCTGATTCTGCTGCAGCACATCGAGCTGCCAAACTCTTCCACTTTGTTTGTATCCACACTTACATCGGCTTTGGGTGGAGCACATTTCTTCAGATCAGTGTCAGGGTGTTCACGGGACTCCACAATATGCCAGCTTCTTCATGGCTGACTTAGACCAGCCCTTTCTCACCTCCTTTCCCTGAATGCCTGGTGCCATTTTAATCTTCTGGAATCCTGGACAGGAGACATTTGAGCAGTTCTATCAGGACTTCCGTCATTTTCATCTCACCATGAGCCTGAGCCTTGATTAGTCCACGCACCTCCTTTCTTTGCAGCTCCATAACAAACATATAAGCATCACCTCATATCAGAAACTTGCTAGCCAGTATGCATATTTACATGCTTCCAATTACCTTCCAAATAACCCATCAAACCTCTCAGTACAACCAAAACTCCAGAGCAAAATCATTGGACCAAACCTCGGAATTTAAGGATTGACGTAAGGCATTTTTTTAAAACTACAGTACCCACCCAACTGAAAAAAACAGGTTGACAAAGGCCAAACTCAAACCCAGTAATAGTTTACTACTGTACAGACAGAGAAAAGAGGAGAATGTCATTTGTTATCACCAATAGCTCCTAGCTGAAACAACTCAAAAATACCAGTGAGCTACATCCTGGACGATGGGTGGATTTGCACATCACCCTAACATACGCTGGCAATAAGCTGTGGTGGATTGATTATTTCAGTAACTCATGCCCAACAAATGATCAGGCTCACTCCCCATGGCTTATTCTCCTCCTTTTTCCTCTAACCAGAATCCCAGAAGCACCATGGTAGGATGGACTTGTCTTCCTGTTGCAAACAGTTTTCTGCTTCACAGTAGCTCCCCCCCCCTTTAAATCATTCCCCCCACCCTTTTAGAGGCTGCCTTTTAATTCAGAAGTTCAGTGCATTCATCTTCATTTCGAATCAGATAAAGATGTTGTTTCGAATCACATGTTCAGTAGCTTACCAATGTCAAGATGCCTGTGCCATCATAAACAACTATTTTGTGAATGGTCACTGTTAATAATGTAATTGTCATGGTACTATCTGCATTTCATTTCCCCTTAGCCTCACTGTTATCCCCCACCACCAAGTTCTGCAGCTCAGGACTTTAAGCATCTGATGGACTAGATTCTAATCTATGGATGTTTATGCCATAATAAAATCATCACTTAAGTTGCCAATTTCTGGTCTGTTATGGAACTGAAACTACTTTGGTGGGTAATATACCTCAGAGTAATTGAAGGAGGTGCAAACTCATTAACTCTAGTAGACTTCCTGGGGACCTTTAGTAGCATCAGCCATTATATTCTTGCAGGCAAGACTTGGAAACATGAGGTTATGGTGATTGATGTTCTTCCTGGACTCCATAGATTGTGATGTGGGACTACTGTTCTATGGCTGTTGGCTTCTGGAATGCCTTGGGGTTCTAGCTTGTCTCCCTCGGCATAACGTCTGTATAGACCTGCTGGGAGACATCATCTGGAGATTTGGGTTCAAGTGTCATCAGTATGCAGATGGCAAACAATGGTACCTCCCTTTTCCATCTCTCAGTTCCAAGGAAGCTATGGAAACCTTGATCCAGCAAGACCGTTTTGGAATGAATGAGGACAAACAAGCTGATTAAGACAGATAAGACAGAGCTACTCTGGGTGGGAATCTGCCCCCATCCAGAGAAAACAGATCTTGGCGCTGCCATACACACGCAGGTTATGTCCTGTACTAGAGCCTTGCAATGTGTTCTGTGTGAAGTTGCCTTTGAAAGCCATTGGGAAGCTTCAGTTGGTGCAGAAAGCAGCTGTCCAGTTGCTTTGAGAGGGGCAAGGGCTGGAGCCTAAAATACCTGTTACCTAAATCCACTGGTTACCAGTTTGGTTTTAGGTCCAATATAAAGTTGTGGTAGTTTTCTTTAGGATACTGGAAGGGTTAGGATCAGGTTGATGGTTTTTGAAGCCCCTTTCTGTTCCATTCTCATTGTAACTGACATTGTAATATTCAGTATGCTATCGCTGCTGCTTTTATGCTTAATTTCTAATTACATTTATATTGTTATATTCTGCTAATATTGTGTAACTGCTGCTGTTGTAATATTGTTTAGATTGTAATTTGAAGGATTGTAATATTCTATAATGAAATTTTATCTTTTAATATGTTGTGAGAATTCTTGGGAGGGTTGATCCTGAAAGACAGTGTATAGGAAGGAAGGAAGGATCTCCGCGGTCACCAGTCATTTTATCAAAAATGGACCAGAAAGAACCAAACTCCATCTTCTGCCCACCCAAGTTTTATACTGCTGTCTAATCATAATGAATCAGCCAAGCGTTTAGTTTGCAACTTTACAAGGGTTCAATATAAGGGGTCTAAATTTTGTCTGATGTTGTAAATAGAACATACAGTCTTTGAAAAGCCTACACTTTTGTTGCATTCGATCCCTTTCATCAAGCTGTGCCATCTTTTCCCACAAACATACAGATATCCACATACTGAAACAGTCGCTACTCATTAATGGAATTTAATCCAGTGTTTGTACAGGTTTTCTGGCAACCAAACCTCTCTGCCGAAATACGTTTGTTGCCACCATTGAACTTCCACTGTGAATTCTCCAATGAAAACTAAGCTTAGCATTCTGATGCCCCTCTGTATGTTTATTGGCAATTAAGCTTTAGTTAAGAGACAAGCCACATCAAGGAAGCCAATTCATTTATGGAGGTTCTGTTTCATTTCATTTTCAATAGTATTTCTTTAAGGGGAATAGATTTTCCTAAAGATTTAATGTCTTCAGCAAAGGAATGAAGACAGGGACAATAACCCAAATGCCAGAGGATTCTATACCCCTCACCAGTTTGGTATTCTTCTTGTTAAATTTAATCAGAGAATGCACAGTTATGGGGGCGAGAGATGATTGTCACCATATCACTTCCTGTGAATTATAAACATGCAGCGCTGTGAACTGTGCTTGCTGCCATCGGAGCAAGCGTTGCTGTGTTAGTGCAGGTTGGTTCATCCTAAGGTCTGCAGATCAGGAAGAGGTTTGGAAGATGATGGGCTGGATCCAGCTTTGCAGCTTTGTCAGTGAAACTAGGAAAGCTTTCCCACCATCAAGCCACTCCCCCGTCCTCCAAATCTGCTCTCGTGAGCTGGGCCATCTTTCAGAGCAGGTTTTTTTCATAGCACACGGGGCTGCAAGTGGAAGGAAAGAGGGAGAGATCCCTGGTACTTTGGCTGACTTCCATCACTGTGACATTGGCTGCAACCCAGTGTCTGTTTTTGCCATGTGGAAGCAGTGAAGCAGTGTGCGAGAGCTAATAGCTCAGGGGTACCCACTTCTGTTTCTCATTTTTTCCAAAACTCTCTCTCTTTACAGTCCGAGATAAACGAAAAGCTGCAAACACAGGAGGAGGCCTATTCGGCCAGAATAGACAAGCTGAAGAAGGCCTGAAAGAAAAACATGTCCAAGCAGAGTGATGGGGTGTCTTTCACCGATCGTTTAGATGTGTTTTATTTCCTAAACTCAGCATAATTGGGTCATTATTTTGCCATCCACTGCTCTGACATCACTAATGTAACACTTGTAGATCTATTGGATGTATATTTTGTATTAAAGTTGGACCTTTATTGAAATAATCTGGGAAAAATGAAATAAATAGTGAAATAAGCATTTGATTCTGTTATTTTTATAATGTGAGTGACATCAGAATTGTAGAATTCCGTGCACGCTTCCGTGGAAGTCCTGCAGAACATCCAGGGATGTAAAAAGGGTTTAAACTAAACCAGTTCTGCATTTATGAGTTCCCTGCTTTCCATTCTGTCATCCATACTTGCTATGCCTAAAGGAATACTGTGCCCTGAAGCCAGTATGTGCTTATTTGCCTATGCTGAGTTAATCAGAATTTGGGTCTTTTCCCCTACCCTCCCTTCTATACCCACTTCTCATGAGACCAAAAAGAATTGCTTCTGAAGACTATGGACAATTCGAATGTAAAGCAGCATGGGGACAACGTTGAATGAGGAAATAATTTCCTATAGACCAAACCGAACAAGATAGACGCATTTTATATTCCCCAGAACATTTAGATGATGACTCTGCTTGGAAAAGTTTCCTTTTCACTACCAAATACACAATCAGAAATTTGGAGATTTAGATTATCCAGTGCCTACCAGTCTTGCATTATTCTCATGCATAGGGTTGCCTTTTTAATGTCTTTAAATGACCTTACCTTTGTGTGAGAATGGAGAACAAATATCACCACTGGCCAGCATCCCATCACCTTCTGAATTACAGGTTTCTTTGGTTGTTTAGCTTTGCCACTTATGCTCCAGCTTTGTTGCTGTGTAGCTGCTGCATCTCTTCAGTATTTGCCTTCTCATCCCTATGCCAAGTTTCTTTGTGGCTGTAAATGGTCCCTTGACTCTTGTCCAGTTCTCTCCATCCAGATTTATTCTTTAGCTTGTGCCCTGACCCTCCTTTCCAGGACCACTGTTTATTCGTTTATTATTATTTATTAAAAGCTTTTATATATCATCCTCTACAAGTATCTTGGGGTGGTTTTACAATAAAACCAGAACAAAATAAAATAAGATAAAGCACAACATCCAATTCCAATAAATAAAATCCACCTTAAAAACCATTAAACATTAAAATAGTGGGAAAATAAAAAGGGGTTTGCCTGGTGCCGAAAAGGATAAAGCGTAGAATAAAAAGCATAAACCTCTCTGGGTAGTCCACAATTGAGGTGCCACCACAGTGAAGGCCCTTCTCTGGGTAACCGCCCTCCTAATCTTCAAGGAGAGCTCCCGGAGGAGGACCTCCACCTCAGGACCACTGTTGCCCTTAAGTGAACTTGACCCTATGAACTTGACGTCCAGACATTTTTAGCTTCCTTTCTATGGTTTGGTTACTTTTGTTGGACATGTTTGGCTGACCACCAGCCCTGCCATGGGCAGGTACCTCTGGTTTCTCCCCATGTGCTTCTGCATTGTCTCAGGTACACAGAAGGCTGCTGCTGGTGAAGGAATGAGCCACTAGTGTGGCTCTACCACACTACCCACCTAACCTAACCAGAGTCGGATTGACGCTGTTCAAAGCAATTGCCTGGCAGAAGCCTAGCTAAGTGGCCATCACCTCCATCTTGTGGTGGAGAGTTCCATAAGCTGATGGTGCCCAGTGTGAAGAAGCGCACCTGTTGTCTGCTCCTGGACCCACTGTCAATTTCAGTCCGGAGGTCTAGAATAATGAAATGGGGGTGGAGGGAGGAACGACCCTCTCATCATCTTCATTTATAATTATACAACAGAATTATCCTCTGGTCACAAGACATCTTCTGAGGAGACACAGGATAGTTCCGATTCCCAGCCCCAATTCCCCTTCCCCTGTTTCCTCATAGCTGGCACAGAAAGGAGCATTCCAGCCGCTCTCCAAGGTTGGGAAAGTGACTTCAGAAGAAGGAAGGACGGAAGGACGGATGGACGGCATGGAAATGAAGGAAGGAGACCAGAGCAGCCACAAGGTAAGGTGTAGAGCTGCTTGCCTGAGATCCTCTTTCAGTTTTTCCATGTAAGGGAGGTATTCAAATCCATTAATTGTTTTTCGTTACTGTTTTCTGGCTATAGCATCCTTTTTGTGATTGGACAATGAGACGATATTGCAACTGGCCATTTTGTGTTCATTCTTTTTGATTCCCACCATCTTTTTTTTTTTTTATCAGAATCACCCAACATCAGTAGCACAAGACACTGGTATGAGACTTCAGTGCCAGACTCATGTTCATCTTTAATACACTAGGCCTGACTTTGATTTATTCCAGCACACTTTGAAAATGGATATTGCCCACCACCACCGTCACCACCTAGATTTTATGGTGTCCTGGAAGATCTATAACGCACTTCGAACATGAAAAAGCGCTATATAAGTGTGACAGGATTGTGATTTGTTAACATGTAGACTTCACACACATGTGGGGCATCTGTGTGTTTTTTTTAAACAGGAACTTCATGGCAGGCTCCATTCTGTATGATATACCTACTCCAAGAGCCCTGCTGAAGAAACTATAGCTTATGTCTGTTGATTGCAACCGGACACCTTTGGAATCTGTTCACATTTTCCAATAAAGCTGGATCATAAAACCAAAAGAATAGGAAAGAGATGGCGAATGCTGTATAAACGATTATATATGGTGCAAAAGGAAAACGAAGCTTTGCAGCCACTTCATACGTGAAATGATACGTACGTGTTGGGAGTCAGGGTGGGATTAGCATCTGAATGGTTTGTGTTGGGAGTCGGGGTGCCATTAGCATCTGATGGCTTATTGCACTCAGGAGGGCCTTTTGCCTGCAACCCAGAATTTCCATAGAACCCACAGCCATGCCAGTCATTGACTGGGTTCAGACAAAGGCAGTCAGTCCTAGCGGGTTTTTACCATTACTGGTGTGTCATGTCTGAACCCAGTTGTGGCATTTCTCCATGGTAAGACTGCAAGGAGGGTGGCTACCAGGGGAAGGGCCTTTTCAGTTGTGACACCCTGGCTATGGAATGAGCTCTGCAAAGAGTTGTGCCTGGCACCTACTTTATTTTTTTTTTCAGCTCCAGGTGAAAACCTTTTTATTTTTTTATTTTTAACTATCTTTTTAATATAGCATTATATCCTCTCTGCGGATTCAGCTGCACTTGCTGTGGTTTTATTGTCCTATGTTATTTTCTTTCTTTCTCGTTTGTGTGTTTTTAACTTTTGTGAACTGCCCAGAGAGCCTTGGCTATTGAGTGGTATGCAAATGAAGTAAGTAAAATAAAACAAATCTAAAATTCACATTGACACATGCTGAGAAGCCCCAAAACATACATTGAAACATACAGTAAATTCCATATAGTTTAGTGGGGCTTACTCCCAAGTGAGTGAGAATAGGATCACAGCCGTAAATGGAATCCATTCGCCTCCAAGTGATCTATTTAATATACTGCTCAGTTGTGTCATTAGGTGCCCATGCTTGGGTTGTGCTTCATTGGCACCACTGACACAAAGAATAGCTAGACTGTTAAGTCTTAATGCTACCTTGGCTTTCGCCTTTTTCGTACAGCAAGGAAGGGACAACAATAGGGCAGATTGTACAGATGTGTTTTCTGATGCTGCTTGTTCTTGCATTAGTGGAAATCTCTGCCTCCTCTCTGCATCTGAACTTTTGTCAAAATGCAGATATTTTGCCCAATTATGAGTCGTTCGTATTTTGCTCAATTTGAGTTTCCTCAACGCAATACTGATTAAGTTTATGAGCAAAAGTAGCTTTGACCTGTTATGTTTCCAAGGGGCCTTGTAATGCAGCAAATTCCAAGGGATATTAGAGTACACCAAATATTTATATCCACAAGACATTTACAAGTCAAGCTGAAGGCCCAACAGCTTCTTTCTCATGCATAAAACAGCTACGCAATGTTGGAAAGGCAGGCGCTTGGATTGCTGCACTAGATCATAGTTTTCAGTCTTCTGTTTATAATAAAAAATGCCTTTCATTACACTAGAATAATCCACTTTTTGGTTTTATTAGTACAAGGATTCTTTGCCATTATGTTTTTTTGGTGATCTCTCCCATTTCAGCATTGGAAGGGCAAGTTGCGTACATGCTTAATTTTAAAAGCCAGTAGTTTCAAAGTAAAAGGAGCTGCACTAGACAACAAAGAAGTCTGCTTTCAGGCCACAAGGACTTTTATAGTTTTTTTATAGAGTCATTTCACGCATTTCCAGGTATGCCTACATTTTTTTAACTGTGCCTTGAAAAGGTACACTCACTGGACAGCCAAGACTGGGCACACCTCTGTACGAAGTACACCGTCAGCTGTGAACACGTGTTTGCCCTCCAGAACAGGTAAAAGATGCAGGTTTAAGTCCTGGGTGGGTTGGAAGGGGTCGCAAATGCAGTTTTCCTCAAGGGCCAGATTGCCCTTCCCGGCAAAGGCTGCTCGGTGCTCCATCACGACTGCCGCATCGCCCCCTTTGCTGTTATTCTTTGTATGCTGCTTCAGGCTAGGACAGTTGAAAGAACAATCAGTTGTGCCCCCCAGAAAAGCGGGGGTGGCTTCTGAATGAGCCGCTTCTGATCCAATTGCCCTGCCACTAACATGGAATTCTACAGGGAATCCTGTCTTTCATTTGTGGACTTCCTGAGTTTTCCCACTGCTTCATCTGTCTTTTGTTAAAACCACTGAAAATATATTCATATTCCCCTCCTGAACAGAAAATTTGTTAAGGAGGGGAATATGAAATAGCCATGCACAATGTATTTTGATTGGGGTCTTCCATCTGGAAACACCACCAAAAGGGACACGGGAGGGCCATCATTGTTCATAGTATGTACCCTCTTTTTAGATTTTCTGTCTCAGTATCATTTATATCCAGTGGGTTAGCTTAGGCTGCAGAAAGAATCTTACCACAGCGCCAGAAATCATGAATTTTGCCATGCATTGAATCTTTACTCTGGTGCACCAAACCTTTACTGCCCTGTATTAGACTTTTGTGGTGACATTTCCCTTTACATTCCCTCCATTTCTCAAGCTTTGATTCCCTTCCTCGCTCTTCTTCTGTCTGCCTATCCATCTCTTGCTTCTCACCTTCTGTTTCTGCTTTTCTGTCCTTAATTACATGCCCATTTTCGCAGAGTTGAATGGATG